AAGTTGAGGTGGTGGAGGTGGAAGAGGAGGAAAAGGGAGTGATGGAAGTGGTTGAGGAGAAGGAGGAGGAGAAAACGAAGGAAAAAGAGGAAAAGGGAAGGGAAAAGGAAAAGGACAAGGAACTGAAAAAAAATCAGAAAAGAAAAAAAAAGGAGGAGGAGATAATGATGAAGATGAAGAAGAAAAAAAGAGGAAGAGGAGAAAAAGAAAAGGAAAAGGAAACGAAAAGAAAAGGGAAAAGTAAAAATAAAGAAACAAAAATAAAAAAGAGAGAAAAGTAAGAAGAAGAAGAGGAGGAGGAGAAACTGAAAAGGAAACGAAATAGAAAAATAGAAAAAAAAACAACAAGGAAAATTAGAAGAAGGACAAGAAAAAAGAAAAGTAGTAGAGAAGAAGAGGAAGAGTAGAAAAAGAAAAGTAAAAAGAAAAAAAGAAAGGAGAAGAGAAAGAAGAAATTAAGAGAAAAAAGAAAAAAAGAAAAGGAGAAGAAGGAGGAGGAAATGAAGAGGAAGAGGAAGGGGAGGCCAAAGGCAGAAGATGGAGAAGCGAGGGAGTGAACCGGGGAAAATGAGTGAAAGAAACGAGAAAAGACTGGAGAGGAAAAAGGAAGAGATAGCAGGAAAACTGGTTTAGGGAATCGAATATAAAGGCTGGAGATAGAGAAAGAACAGGAGAAAGAGTATAGTGAAAAGGAATAGGCAGTAAGAAGGAAACAGGGCAAGAGAAATTGAAGAGGACGAAAACAACAAAGAATAGATAAAATTGTTATTGATCTAAATTTGCAAATACTATTTCAATAATTACCTACTTGCTATTTCAGTAAGAGGACAAAGGATAGATAAATTATTTTTGATCAAGTTAAATTTCAATTATTTCAGTAATAATCGGTTTACTCTTCGATAAGTTTCTTTGAGATGATTACACCTTTCATCATTGTTTTTCACTAGCAAATCTCATGTGTCTTACAGATTGTTAGCGAAGACAAACTATCTATTACTGATTTACATGAACTCTTTGAGGGAACATTTCAGAATCCGTGTCCATTTTCCACTGTATAAGCTAATACTCAGCGAGTTTCATTATAATCCAAACCTAGCTATGCCACCCCAATACCAGAAATATATGTAGACTTTCATTTATTTATTGAAAATGTTCTGCAGCGTATACAATACATAGCACTAGGGCTTGGTTTGGGGCAAAGTCTCAATGTAACAAAAGATAATACAGCTTTGTGATAAGGCATTTGTGTCAAAAAGGTTAAAATGAGTTAACTAGATCAAAATATGTGAGACAAAGGTTATAGAGCGATGTTGGTTAGCATGGTAGCGAAAAGGTTAAAGAGGGAAAAGCAAACGGAGTAAGAAGGCCGTTCAGGACTTACAAAGCCAGTCTTTCATCCTTTCTGCACGGCTCTCACACCTCACGATGTGGACAGAAGGGGATGAAGAAGAGGAGACAAAGGAAAGGAGAAGAAAAGACCATACAAACTTAGTTGAAGCAAGGGCCAAAGTCCAAAGGCATGGGCGATCCCACACATTGGGCCTGTCTCCGTTTTCTAAGCCTTCCCACAACGAAATCGAACATGGGATTAAGTAGGGAGATGAAAACATTTTTGATTCCTTTGAATGTCAGACACACGTAATTAGTACAGATCATGGGTGTCTTATAAAGAGGAGCATAGGAGGAGGAAGGAGGAGGAGGAGGAGGAGGAGGAGGAGGAGGAGGAGGAGGAGGAGGGAGGAGGAGGAGGAGGAGGAGGAGGAGGAGGGGATGATGATGATGATGATGATGATGATGATGATGAATGATGATGATGATGATGATGATGATGATGATGATGATGATGATGTGGACTAGCAAAGGTGGAAGAGGAAAAAAAAAAATGTAGAAGGGGAGATGAGACAAGAAGTTTTACAACAAAAAGAAAGGAGGAAGAAAAGAAAATAGAAGTAGGAGGGAAATTAAAATGAGGAGAAAAATATAAAGAAAGAGAAAAGAGCAGAAAAATATAGAGAAGAAAGAGAGGAGTTAAAGGAAGAGGAAAAAAGAGTAGGAAAAAGGAAAGATGAGGAGAGAGAAAAAATAAAAAGATGAAAGATAGGATGAAGAGAAAGAGAGAAAAGAAAAAAAGTAAACGAGATAAGAGGAGAAAAGTATGATAAAGAAAGAGACATGGAAGAAGAGAAAAAGGAAAAGGAAAACAGGAGATAGGAAAAGAAAAAATATAACGAAGAAAGAGACAAAGAAGAGGAGGAGGAGGAGTGGGAATAGTAAATTGAAATATAAGTCGGTGTATATGGGGAGAAAAAAACACTAACAATTCCTGGTAAAGACAATGTATTTTTTTAAATATTACAGTAAATATTTAAATATATTTATCAACCTTAATTTTCTATTTCAAGTACTATTGCATTTGAGGAAAAAAAAAATCAATTTTAAAAACTTTTTGTTCCGAGTTACATTGTCCTTTCTCACTGCCCTTCCTTTTTCAAATCTATATTCAGCCAGTTATTGTAGTGCAATATCTTCTAGTATATTTCACCACTTCTTCTATTACTTATACATTTAAAAATAAATCAGGTAAAGCATTTTTTTACTTCACTTAATTAGCTTTAGTGAAAGAAATCAAATTTGCACTTTGTGCTGTTTGTTACATGCAATACCACTTGGAATAATATAAATCATGCATATAATTACAATCAGGAATCAGACCTGTTAAGATTTCCATGAGACTCACCAGTTTGTTGCATTTTTCAATTAATACATTTACGCTATTTGAAAGTATATAACAAATGAAAACCATAATAAGAGTTATTTTCATATATATGTATATCTTATATATAATTTAGCCATTTGCACTTCCTGAATACTGGACTTTTCTTCTCACTTTAAATCTAACACAGATCATTTCTGACTTCTAAGTATTAAAAAAAAGAAAAAAAAATGCACTCACTCTAATGAACTGACAACTAAGACAAAAATATATGCAAGAAAAATTTAGCCCTAAGGTTACTTGTTATTTTGTAAGGGTATTTTTGATTCATTCACATAATTATGTTATCAAGACGTGGTCTCAACTTACAATTTATCAAGTTCTGTTTCCTTTGCTACCCAAAGAAAAATATGAAAGTGCTTCACAAAATCAGTTGCAATCTGAATATATGACTTTTCAGGCAAAGATGAACAATGACCAATAGGTTGAATACTAGTCGGCACATGATCGCCAAATAATATGTAAAACATCAATGGATTTCACAACAATGCTTTCATACAAGGTATGTGTAATTCTGGGTCTTTAACCAAAAATTGTGCACCTGAGAAATCTGGTTAGCCTCTTGGTGCCTGTATGGCAAAAAAGTTCCAGAAAACAATTTTTTTGTGTTACCTTCAAGATGTAGACAAACAGCATAGCTTCAATATATGACTCTGACATGCTATGTCATAACATTTACTGCAGCCTGGGACAACTGGATGTCAGTTATGAGGTCAGTAGAGTTGTGTGCCAGTATCTTGAATAGGTTACATATGAAGTCACAAATATCCAATCTCCTTCTTTGGCATAAGTTCTTTTCATTTTTCTTCCATATCCTATTTTCTTGAAAAGAAGACTGTTAAATAGGATAATCATAACCTAATTATCTATGCACCTTTTTATTCATCATTGCAAACTCAGTAGCAGTTAATCAACTAACATTTAGCAGACTATTAGTCTCTAAAATAGTTCCTGTTCCTTTTTTCAGTGCAAGAGCAAAAAACCATCTAATAAAATAACCTGAGGTAAGTATCTCCATTAATAATGAAGCATAAATGGGCTGGCTTAGACATGTTGAAGTTAGGTATTCTGCAACTCAAAAGGGACTGCTTGTCACTCCAAAATCAACAAAAAAAATAATGCCACAGCAATCAGGAACAAGCAGCACACTGCAGACCCTGGCCGAGTCTTGCTCATGACAAGCAACATCTGACACGTAGCATCACTAGGAGCTTCAACACATGTTAGGCTAAAGTGTGCCTAGTATATAATTTGACGGTTTATACGGCAGTCAAGAACAAGGCAGGAGGGTGTGTTGATTTCTTCCCTTCTCATCTTCACCGCTTCAGGCTGTAAACAAGAGACTTAATCAAATCTCTCATGCGATTGTTTCTTGTCTGTCCACAAAGCACGTCCCGATGCAGAACCCTTCAAGGCCTGCTCAGCCGCTCTGTGTGCATACGTCATGACAAAGGCCCCACAGTCATAGCTATTATCCTGCTGTGTGCAACTAGCATCCACTAGGGTAGCTGGTATATCCCTGTCCAAGTACGAGTTAATCCTTTGTACAAGGCAACGAGCATCGCGGTAGTTGCAGCCCCTTTGAGAGTCGTAATGATACCATTGCTGTCTATATTACTGTAAATTAAGAGACTCCAGTGACTGCCCCCAGGTGCAATCACAGACGAGTTGTCATCACAGGAAGAAATATAATTCCTTGTACTTTGCATCAAGGGGATCAAGAAAAATTGGCAATTCATTAGGATCTCCCATTTTAATCAGCTGGGGTAACCTCCGGGCTGATAAACAGAAGACGGGAATTTCCTCGGAAGACCTCATGCTGAAGGTGCTCGAACCAAAAGGAAATGAGTGAGTCGTTCAACCAATTGCGACCCTCTAACAACCGCAAATCTGACTCCATGATAAGACAGTCGTGGTAGCTGAGAACAACGCGGTCTCCCATGTTGGCGAAATTATAACCCTCTGAAGAACACTGATTTTCACTTATTCAAAGACTTTCCTAAATATTATTTCCCTGCTCAAGTTATCTTAAAACCCTCAGACCAGCAATGGCTTTTCCTCTTCACACTTTCTGGATCTGCCCATGACCATTAATAAGACTGGTGGGCATAGTAGCCTGTGGCTGTGCTCCTGAAACGGCAGTTGTCTGGGAAACTGGAGTGTGCGAACCCTGTTGATTGAAGCCAGTTTCAAGAAGTTTCATGCGCTTCCTTGTGTAGTGTTGCCAGTGTAACACAGTTTGGTCGTCAATGAATTTGGCACATTGACCGTTGACAATCTCCTTCCTGAAGTTTTCGTGCTGCAAAAGGTCCAAGAAATAAAGGCACAGGGTATCTGCAAAAGAATAATAAAAAGGTAAGCCCTCAAATAAAATCACGGCGAAACTACTCACTGAACAATATCAAACTTTAGTGTACAAAAATCTACAACTGAATAAAATAACAATTTTCCTACTGCAGTCAGAAAACTGCATAAAGCACATACAAATCCACAATCATAAAAAAGAAAGAAAAATAAAAAGCAATAGAAAAATCAATCAGTTGCTTTGCAGCCTTTTTTTCTACAAATGTTATAACTGATCTCTTATTAACAAAATTAACAGAAGATTATTTGATATTTACATGAATCTAATCCTTTCCAAACTGTAAATAGACTAGCAAAACAACAATATATAATATAATAATAATAACAATAATAAAAATCAAGGTATAGTATCAGCAATTTTAAATCATCGCAACGAGATCCTAAATAATAATAATAATAATAATTTTTGAAAAATAATAATAAATCAATAATAATACATACATACGTTAAATGAATGAACTTGAATGAATTGACACTTACTTCAAGTACTTTGCATATTCAGGCTCCTTCCAGTACTGAAGATACTTGAGGTAGTTGATAAAGGTCTGGTCCTTGAAGTAACCACGCTGTGCCAGGACTGAAAGAGAAGGGAGGTATTACTTCACTCCATTATAGGGGTACGCATTGGGGGTATTACTTCATTCCATTTCCTAATAGGAGTAAAATTTGGAGTATTATTTCATCCATTTCCTTAAAAATGATAAGAGTTGGGGGTATTACTTCATTCCATTTCCTAATAGGGTAGTTGGGGTATTACTTCACTCCCTTCCTAATAGGGTAAGAGTTGAGTTATCTAATATCCGGAGATGCTTGATTAAAAGACAAGAGCGTAACCTAAGAATTTGCATAATATCTATAAAAAAGATTATTCATAACCATGCTCAGAAGTCTTTGAGTCAATTAATGTTTGTGTATTCTCAAAAATTAACATGAACTAATAATCAAATTTATTTTTAAATCTATAGTAACAAATCTCTCAATTTTCTTGAAGGGTTTAGCATAAAAAAAAAAAAAAAATCTCTAGAGAATAAAAAAATCTGGAAATTTAGGAGACAGCAGTATTTCTGACAAAAAGCAGCTTTTGTTTAAAGTTAAGATGAAAAGAAAAAGAAAAAAAATGGAAAAAAAAAAAACACGTTATTTTATCAAAGGCACCTTAGGCTCCAAGATTCAAGGCCCAGTTACTTACAGAGCAGGTAGTTGGGGTTAGCCAGACACTGGACAAACTCCAGTTCGATCTGGAACCTCAAACGCTGCCCATCCTCACTCTCTCCTGCAACATGGAAAGACACTGTGGCTAAGAAAAGGTTAAAAAACAATGGTCTTGGTGTGTCTCGAATGGAGAGAGAGCTTTCAATATAAATTGCTTTGTGCTTTGGCTCTTCAATCTGCAACAAAACAAAAAATCATTATATCCCTTACTCCAATTTTGCTGGTATTTCTATTCAAAACCACTTGCATTATCTTATCATTCTGATATATACCAGTTTATAGAAACCTGTATTCACTTCTGCAAAGAAACAAGAGAAAAAAAGAAAGGAAAAAATATCAAAATGAAGAAACGGAGCTACATAGCATATCTCATACTCTTGGTTCTTCTTTCTTTACTCTCTTGATCAAGATAAAAAGTGATAATTAATTGACTTCCTTTTCAACATAATCCTTTCCCTCTTCCTTTCTCTCTCTCTCTTTGACCTTTCTTTCAATCTCATAATCTTGATTTTTCTTTATCTTTATTCACTTTTACTAATTTTCTTCCCTTCTACTGTTTTCTTCACTACTATCATCCAAACACCAAAATACAATAATAAACAAACAAACAAGAACACCATAAAATATTTGACACTGCATGAGGATCTTTAAAATGAACGGCAAGGTACCACTTTTGCAACAGTGGAGCTAGTAACTATGATAACAAGAAACATTAATGGTTTTCAAATCATAACTTGTCTTTATAGCACTTAGCTTATCAATAAACTCAAGCCTGTTTTTTTCCAGCAGACAGTAAATTCCCACAACCTATCTGTAACTGCTACCTGAGGTAGGAATCATAAAGGTACTGTTTATTAAGTAACTTTCCTCCATATCAACATTAGCTACTCAGTTTCTAACTTCTACAAACACCTGAATAAACTTTTGATTAATGTTTTCTACATCACCCAAAGTGCCAAGAGCAATCAAGTTCACCTGGGGTATATCGTGTAAAGCTGAAATGCGCTTTGAAATATTAACTGCAAACAGGAATGAGAAAAAACACTTACAGTCTCTCATCAATATATGACTGCATAGTGGCCTTTTATTCAACAATTGCCCTCCCTTATTACCAATCAAGACCAACTTTGAGTCCCTAATCAATGAATTTGCTTTCATTTAACTGTAGTAACAAGAAAGCAATCAACAATCTATTACTACACTATCTCAAAATTACATTATCAAATATGTCTCATGAGGTAAATGTTTATAAGATTCAACACAACGTATTCCCATACATCATCTTCTTAATATATAATATATGCACACCATATTCCAAGTCAAACAATATTTAACAAACAGAAGTCCAACAACAACATACATTTGTATTTGAAGTTTCTCATTTAACAATAATGCAAGGCAATGTTTAATTATTGCTTCATAAAGAAAATCTGTAAAATATTCAAATACTGAGAGATTTTCTATGTATAAGGGAGAGGGTGTCTATTTTTGCATATTAACAGAACTTTATTTTCCCATCTTTGAAATTTTGCACTCCTAAGAATCTTGTGCTCAGGGAAATAACCCCTGTGGCCCCACTTACATTGTGCCACTGCAATTCGCTATTGACTCTATCTCCAGAGAACCAATGAAACAAAGAAGAAAAGAAAAAAAAAAAAATGGCCTGGCCTCAAAACTATAATACTGCCTGGAATCTTGGCTTTGCTGATATTTTTTTAAAATAGAAAGACAGTAGCAAGACTATAATGTATTCCTTTCTAAAAACACACATTTATGCAGGCAAACAAAATTCAGAAAATTGTGCCTAAAAAAATTTGTCTTGTAATTAAATGTTTATTTCTTTTTACCTGAAATACACCTGATAATATTAACCTGCAAAGAACACAATCTTAATCATGGCAAGTGACCAAAACAATGACACAGAAGGGTCCAGACACTTTCTGATCTCTATTTCACCATAACCTCCAATCAAAAAAGAATTCATCATATTCCATTAAAGAAAAACATCAATAGATATTCATATAAAAAAGAGTAACTTGCACAGGCATATAAAAAGCAAGGTGTACTAAAGGTGTACAATACTGGCAGGGGTTTTAGATGCTGGCAATGGCACATTATATAAATACAAACTGATGGATGTGGCACCCTTGTCAAATGAAAGGGGAAAGAGAATATGAGAAGGAAAGAGAGAATGAGGGAGAGAGGGACAGGCATTGGGATGAGGAGAGGGAGAGTGAAAGGGAAAAAGGAGAGGAGAGGGTGATGCAGAATTTGGGACGGGGACAGAGAAAAGAGGAAGGAAGGAGGGATAGAAAGAGAAGTAGAGGCAGAGGTAAAGGGGAGGATGAGGGAGGATGAGAAAAAGGGAGGGAGGAAAGGAGAGGAATGAAGGAAGGAAGGAAAGAAGAAAGGAAGGAGGGAAGGAAGGATGGAGAAAAGGAAGCAGGTTGAGGGAAAGCCGTGGATGGAAGGGAATATTGGGATGAGCAGGAGAGAGGCATGAGTGTGGGATAAAAAAAGAAAGAGGGAGTGGGAGAATGATATAAAAAAAAGACAGACTTTGGGAATGAGGGAAAGGTAATGCATAGGAGACAGGAGGGTAGGGGTGGATAGAAGAATTAGAAATGTACATAGATTCAATATACCTGGATCATTTTACACTTCATACCCTTACCTGACCTAATCAAACAAAACATTGACATATTTACATGATGAGCCTTTCAAGCAACAGCTCACTCCATCTCAATACACCTATATCACTAGAAGGAGGCATCTAGTGGTCAAGAATGACTAGTAAACAACATTCTGTCTCCTGGAAAGTGCAAGGCAAAAATGTACTTTAACCATAAAAAGTTATTAGTCTATATATCATCATTTGCCAAGTTTCTGGACCATATTTGTTTTAATCAAATGCTTTTTTCTCTTAATACATGTATTATTTCTAGTAGCAGCTTGCCCATACAATCTGCTAAGCTCTAGTCTTCCCAAGCACTCATTGACATGTATATGGCTCTGTCAACCTCACAGCTTAAGTTATATGCAACAAATATGTCATAACAGTGAGTATTTACATCATTTTCAATATATATGTAACTGAATTGTTTAAATCTTTATTACAATGAGACAAAAATAGGAGTTTCATGTTGTACAACATTGTAGGATTTAATGCCATGGTATCACTTGCTGGTGATGGTGACTCCTTAATTTGTTCTGAATACTTTTCATTTAACTACCCTATATAAACAATGGAAAGCAGAGTGACCTCAGTCAGTAACTTTTCAGTTGACAGTTGACATTGTTGTCTGCAGTTTCCAGTGACTAGTCCCTCTACTTTATTTTTCAATAAAACCCCCCAATGATCACTTCTATGTTGTTACTTTTTCTCCAAAGCAAGGTGCTTCAAAAATGTGCCAACAAGTGAAAACATGGAGACATTCTCATGCACTTCCTCCATTCTAAAATTGGTTGAGTGACTTGTGCTAGCATATTCTCATCACATAAATATGTCTGAAAAAAGAGAGGCCATATCAAAACACGCTCAAACTCAAATCAACCAACCTGGGTGTTGTAATGGCTTGTTCAACCTTACCAACCTGTGCCACTGCCAGTGTGCAAAAAACATCCAATTCAAAAAACCAGTCTTCACTAAAAGGGTTGCTATGAACTTAACAACAAGTCACTAATCTCTATCTATCTTACCTTGTAATCAAATTTATGCCTCGTGTTGTGAATGGGTTGAATGGACTTGGGTTTCCAAATCATTAATGGAACGAAACAGAAGCATTCTATCTATATTATAAGATAAAAGTAGCAATAAGCAATTGCATACAAAACAAATTTCACTGGATCTCTATGCAAACAGCACTCTGCAGCCAGCTAAAATATTGGTCTCGGAAGAATAGGGTCACATTCCACATTTCATCATTAGTACATCAGGAAGAGAAAAAAGTATATACAATAAAAACACAAAGAAATGCAAAAGGACTGTGTCTTTGTCAGCATTATAAAAAGGGAGAAGCTATTACAAAAATAACAATGACTTAATTTACTATTCATACAATAACCAGGCACAAGCATAAGTTGTCAGTCAGGCAATCACAAAACAATAACATGCATTTGTGCTTTTCATCTCTCTCTCTCTCTTTCTCTTTCTCTCTCTCTCTTCCACATATATTCAACACATCTACTGCTCTTACATCCTTCCTCATACAGACTATGGTATGATTGCCAAATATATATATTTCTAACCTGGCCTAACCTAGGCATTGTCTAAGATAACTAACTACATAACCAGATATCCCAATGAAATTCCCAGCAAGTAACAGCTACTTATAAAAGTTTGTTTGTTTTTTTGCATAATACAATTGTCTGACTTCTATTTTCTGATAATTTCTAAAAAAAATCCATAAGACTTTGACATATTTGTCCAAAAGAGCAGACATTCTTTTAAATACAGCAGACTATTTCATGAAAATAATGGATAATAATGATCATTATTTTCATAGATGTCCAACAGGTATGTTATCAGACAGCAACAGATTATGTTAAGTGGAGCTCTGGATTAAGGCCTGTTCCCAGCCAGGGATGGTCCACACAGAAAATAATACATAACACCTTTGTATCTTCACAAAAGTTGGTGCAAATGATTTCTGTTCCTTTTGTGTGGTACTACGAATAGCTTGTACCATATAACTAGCTACCATGAGAGATGCCTAAATAAGCATTTATGGCCGAGCCCTGTGTGGGTTTCCGTGAAGACTAAGGACAATGCCTTAACTCAGGAACATGGCTTCCTTGGATTAATTAATTAATTATAATAAGTTCTATGGCAAATAATTTAGTTGCTTACTCCCTACCCAAAATGAATTCCTATTTCCCACCCCAGACTTGTCCTGTGGGAGGGGGAGGGGGGTGAACTGAAGCAAGAGGCTCACTACAGAAAGGAAGACCATGTTCAAAGTATATCTCAAGAATTTTCTTTACTATCATGATCATTAAAGCATATGCGCTAACACAGTACCCTGCACTTTAATTGAATTGAGAGTCAAAAAGATTTCTGATTACATTACTCACATACTGTTCAACTATACATGCTTCACTGACTTTACATCTTCATACTTGAGACTTCTACAAAAATAAATTTAGAGATCCCCAATAGACTTCTTATAACCTTAAAGCTTTATATCCAAACTTTCTTTCTCTTTTCATAGTTTCATTAACATAATTAAATAATGATACTAGTTAAGCTATCTTTGCAGTTGCAACAAAGTGTCAGAACTGTTGCTGTGAAGGGGCAGCATAACTTTAAAAGTTTCTTAAATTTAGAGACTACATCAATACTTACAAAAACCAACTGACAAGCTAAAAAGAAAAAATATTGCATTTATTATTTCAAAAGAGTATGTCTGTGATAGATTAGATAAATTATCAATAGTCTGAGACTGAAGACTGAGAATAAATCTTGTCAATAATTAATAAATATAGTTCATTCTTGATTTTAATTATTTCTTTTAGAGTGGTATAACTTTTAAATCTAAATCTGACAAAGCCATTTTTATTTTTTCTAAGTTCTTCTGTAGTATTTCTAAATCATAATGTCCCCCATTAATGTAATTGCAACAATGTAGGCAAATTATAAAAAAGTAATGTATTTATAATGTGAAATATTCAAAATTTTATCAATTATCAATCCTGCCCTTATATTTGCTTTCACGAGAGTGCAATTTGAAAAACCATACAATTCTGTTCTTTGTGTTGAAAACGCTCATAATGCACAAGTCAAAAAAAGAAAGAAAAAAAATTAATAATAAAAAAAAAAAATAAAACAAATGATATATTATATTCTATCATACCAAATTTTGTCTGTCTATACCTTCATACACTGTGTTACATCAGATTTTGTTTTTCAGGAGAATGGTGTGAAATCATAAAATGTCTTTTAGTAATGAGTGTATCAAATATTCAAAAATATATATACACAGATATATGAAGAAAAAAAATCCATTACCTCTAAATATTAGCAATACAGTCAAGCACATCGCCATATCATTATGGGTAACATCCAGCCACATATGATCATGGCAACTACTGCCTAATGACATGTACAGTTTTCTAACCGAGGAATCTAAATTTCCTTTAAAAATGCTACCAATTCCTGGAACATAAATACAGCAAACCTAGTGTAATTTAGCCAATATAGGGTAAATACATGGTAATATGCTATTTAGTATATATAAAATAGTGTTCATACAATCTCCTATTACAAAGAATATATCATGATAAGTGCGCCTGATAATATTAAATGTAATACAACACTAGATAAAGAGTGATCTAGTCTAAACATAAAATGAGTGAAAAAAAAAAAAAAAAAAATACAAATACATATACAAACTACAGGATGCAGTAAACCTATAATATCTATATTTTCTCACCTCTATAAAAAGCTTTCCTCAGAGTTATCTAAAATCGACCCATACAGATAATGAAAAAGAAAAGAACAATGCAAAACAGGCTAAAGATATGACCAAATCATTTACTAAAATCCATAGATATAGTCATGAAGGAATACTGCAGCCTTCATGCTTCATAACGGCCGACAAGTCACCACCTTGTACTTTCCTACAAAACAGAGTCGGTATACCTCTCTGGCAATCTACTCATCAAATTAGTGACAAGTTAAATATAAATCTCGCAAGAATATTTTTGGTGGAGGCTTGCTAGTCTTTCCAGGAAGTATGGAGATTATCCTTTACAAATAAGTTATCAACCATCTAACCCTGTTTAGGTCAGCTTATCACTATTTACCTTTTCCTGACTTTCCATTTTATGCTCTCTTCTAATGGCACGCCTCTAGTTTTTTTTACATGCTTAGGTAATATCATCCTGGAAGTGTCTGGTTTCTATTGCCTGCAAGATCCTGCCAGTTTATAATTTTAGGACTCATAAAGAGCATGCCATATTGACTACTGACTTGACGCAACTTTTCCACAATGACTTTTCAAATGGAAATGTGTAAATTAGAAGCCATTAAATTATTATCAACATTTCTTTAAGTTTGCCTACACACATAATTACAAGTGTAATCAATAAAATCATAAATAAAGAAAATATCCAGATTGATGAAAGCCACTCACATATCACACTGTATATATTAATAATCTTGTCTGAAAACAAATGAAAATGATACTAAAAGGTTTTGCGATATGGAAAGTCAACTAATAAAAATATAATTTCTGGAGCTACCATTCTGCGTAATACTGAATATTTGGATAAGCAATAAATAAACTATACAATATACAAAAGCTATCAATTTCCTACTACCTGTCAGTACCTCCTACTACCTACATTATAATATAGAGGTGAGCAAACCATGAAAATAACACTAGGCCTAATTAAATAACTTTTTCCCAACATCATTTAGAACACACCAAAATAAAGGAAGTTAACCACACCAAAATAAAGGAAGATAGCCATAAAAAAAATACGAAACAATATATTGGTACAGTACTTAATCTGTCATATGTCAAGGTAACACCACTATTATTTACTTGAACTGATAGTCTATGCTCCTACTGCTGAGTCCAATGATTCTACAAATTCAGCACTTGGCTCTCCAGCAAAAACAAACAAAAAGACCTCTAGCACATATTCTAGCAAAGACCTTATGAAATTTCTAACAATTGAGTACAAAATCTACCAATCTAAACTTGCCAAATATATATCAGAAAAATCTGTAGAAGTTACGGCACTGCAATTGACAGTCTGGTTCTGAACAATTACCTTCCTTTCCTGAGTCTTGAGGAATTCACATCACTTATAGGAAAAGTCAGATACAATTTTAGGTCTAACTTTAGCTTTATGTCGAGTTCAAGTTTAGAGTTTTAATGTAGGTTTATCTTTATGTTTAAGCCTTGGTAGTTTGTGTTTAGATCAGGTTAAAAATTGTCAAATTGAGAATTTTCCTCCCTTTTGGCTCAATGTTGAAAAAAAAAAAAAAAAAAAAACATTCAGGACTTCCTATATTACCACTAACCCTCAGACCAACCTCAGATGCCACAGTTTATATCTCACTCCAGTAACGGACAGGGACACGACCAATACATTTATAATTCTATTATTTTTGCTAAAATAAACTGGTCTATTCTGGCAAGAGTGAGACCTTGGATTTTTTCTTTTCTTTTTTTACTGTATAAATTACCATGAAAGTCTACAAGCTCTATCTTGGCAAAATATGTGGCAGAGACTTCTTGGTCTTTGCCACAGCACAAAGGCGCGGATGCTGAGCAAGGCCAGTGGCAGCCGTGCAAGTCTCCTAAACTTTTACCATATGACTTAATTTTATAATATGTTTAGATACAATAGATAGGGAATGAGTTGGGTTATTATCATTAAGTTAGGTTAAGCTAAGATATGTTTCCTGAAGAGTAAAGGGATGAGATTAGATTGGGATTTAAATTTGGTTTCGTGCATTGGATCTAATATGTTTAAATCATATTCTTTTAAAGTTTAAGCCTTGTTAAGTATGAAGTTAGGTTTAATTTGTCTGTTTTGGTTATTTTCTATGCTACAAATATAATTTGACTGTCGAGCCTAAATACTATTCCTAAAACTATAATTCCCGTTAACGTCGAAAATTAAAATGATCTTCCCCT